TCGAGATCCGAAGTGCTGCACTTGACACGATTCGTGTAGAGACACGGTAAGTCGGTTCAAGACACTGGCCCAAAGAGGCGAGCCCATGAAGTCAGAGCAACTCAAATTCAAACGTTGAGCATTAAAGCCGAAGAATCAAACGGGACGCATTTAAGAAGAAATAATTGTACTTAATTACTCATTTTAAATGTCGTTTAGCTATGTATAAATATAGAGGCCAGTGGCCATGTAAAGGGGATCTTCATCTCAAGAGAGAAATATATAGCAATTTTCGTATCAATTTACAAGTTCTTACGCATTCATTTTTGTCCCTCAAGAATTATCTTTCCCACTTAACAAAATACTTGAGTGTGTGAATCCGACATCCACACTCGAGATGATAACTCCATCTCGAACCGATCCCAGTTAGACCGATAATAAACCCCTTCTTGGGCCCCCATTACTCGGGTTAAGGAGAGGTATATCCGTATCCACTTTTCTAGGTCCACCAGAATTTGAACCTTGGGCTCTGATACCATGTTGAATTTTCCAAGTCCAAGACCAATTCTAATTCCCCAATAGTATGATATTGTCCGCTTTGGGCCAAGCCCGCACGGATTTGTCTGTGGGCTCCTTCCCAAAAGGCCTCATACTAGTTGGAGTTGGACTTCACTTATATATTATACTTTTCTTCTTCTAATCTTCCGATGTGGGACGTTGGTTTGACTCCAATAGATAATGTCAAAGCCGTGATCTTGGTAAGTATAACATCACTTCTTATCTATGTTTTTAATAGTTGCTTGCACCACAAGAAAATGTTTGCTTGTGTTACAATCTTCTTTATGTTTTTTGCGTTCCAAAAGGATATCGTAGTGGCGGGTACGGATACAGCAGCTGCGGCGGTTGTGTGGGGAATGACGTATCTAATGAAGTACCCTCAAGTGATGAAGAATGCTCAAGCAGAAGTGAGAGACTATATGAAAGAACAAGGGTTAACATTCGTTACTGAAGAAGACGTCAGGAACCTTCCTTACTTCAGAGCCTTAGTTAAAGAAACCCTAAGGATCGAGCCGGTCATACCTCTCCTTATCCCTCGTGCGTGCATTCAAGATACCAAGATCGCCGGTTACGACATCCCGGCCGGGACAACGGTCAACGTCAACGCCTGGGCCGTGTCACGTGACGAGAAGGAGTGGGGACCGAACCCTGACGAGTTCAGGCCCGAGAGGTTTCTTGAGAAGGAGGTTGACTTCAAAGGCACAGACTATGAGTTTATACCATTCGGGTCAGGCCGGAGAATGTACGTGCCCTGGAATCAGAGCCGGCCCAAGGCGATGAAGCATCAGCTTGCGGCCTTAAATTATATAGGTCTATAATCGGCCATATTTCACAAAAATTTCATTTAGCCTAGTGGTATAACAGTGAAAGAGAGTCTATGATGTCATTAGTTCGACCCTCAAAACTCTTATTTATCTGTGTTTCCATTAAAAGTTTTTTTTAACATAACAAAAAATATTTTTGGGCTTGTGGCCTCATAATTCCCTGCGACGGCTCTGCCTGGAATGCGTCTTGGTGCGGCGATGCTTGAGGTTCCATATGCGAACCTTCTTGTAACAACCCATTTAAGGCCCAAGGCCCATCCGCTGAAGCCCATGAGGCCCAATTCTTTGACCTAGGTATCCTCCTCTATTCCTCTATAAATACCCTCCTCTATCTCTCATTTTTCCCACAACTCTCCTGAGTAGTATTACTCTGCAGAAATCTCGCCGAAGTTAGCACCACCGAACCGCCGTCCACCCTCTCCCATAACCGAGCCGACCAAGCCAACGGAAAGCTTAGTCGAAGGTAACTCCTAAAACCGAGTTTTAAAGGTTTTAGTTTCGGGCCGTTTAGTATTTTCAAGATTTCTCCCTAACCGCTTCGAATCTCGCAAAACCAAGGGTACCATCGGATTCGTGACGACGAGACGAAGCCGGAGACACCGAGCGCTGCCACCGCCGACGAGCCACACGCCGCCACGCGCCGGAAGAAGGAAGCGCGTGACGCCCACGCGCAGCCACGCGCCGCCGAGTCCTCGGAGCGTGGAGCTCACGCGCTGCCGCCGGTGACCGGAACCGCCGCTGTTCGCCGGAGCCGCCGTGACCGGCAGCCGTCCGTTCGCCGCCGGGATTCCGCCGCCGCGTCGTCGCCGGACCGCCGTCGCCGCCAGTGACTTTTCCGGTAAGGTTCGCCGGATTTGTTGCCGCCGACCGGTTTGGGTTAACCGGTCGGTTTAAATTGATTTAATCCGGTTGAAATCGATTTGGTCTTTGTTTAGGTTAACCGGTTGGTTTAAACCGGTTGGTTTAAATCAATTGATTCTCGGTTTAGGATAACCGTTCGGTTTAAATCAATTGGTTCTCGGTTAAAGTTAACCGGTCGGTTTAAATCAATTGATTTCTGGTTTAAGTTAACCGGATCGATTTGACCGGTTGGACCGTTGACCGTTGACTGTTGACCGTTGACCGTTGACTTTGACCAGTTGAACCGAAAACCGTTTTTCTTCGTTCGGACGCCGTTTGACTCGATTTTTCGTTCCGGTTTCAGATCCGGAGTCGATTTATTCATTCGAGGTCCAGAAGTCGTAGGTTCAGCATTGCTAAGGTGAGGGCTATTTCCAAACCGCTGTGCTTTGTTCGAGAATCCTAATTTACGAATAGTGCAGCACTGAATGTGATGTGTTTCAATGATCGAGTCTAGTTAGTTTGATTGCTTAAATTGGACATAGGAAGATAGATGATTAAACCCATTTGTTTGTCACATACTGTTAAATGTTTTTTTGTTATAAATATATATATATATATATATATATATATATATATATATATATATATATATATAAAGGAACTTCTGTATGGTGCCGCATTGTTTGAGGTAGGGGTGAGTGAGGGCAATGCATAATCGATCTGTTGCCCTCCACCTTAAGATCGATAAGCGTCCCAGGGGCGGTGTGAGTGGGCACTATCCCATGAGTTACCTCTGTGTGAGGGTGTGATTGGGCACTATCCCATAAATGATCTCGTTGAGGGTGTGATTGGCCACTATTCCTCCGTAGGAAAATTGTATGTTGATTGAGCACTGTAGGTGCTGTGTTTGCTCATATTTTGTACTCCATTATTTTGCGATTAGTTTTCTTGGCTGAGTCAGTGACATGCGGACTTAGCATCCCATACCTCACTGAGCGACTCCCCTGTTGCTCACCCCTCTTTCCCCATTTCAGGTGAGCCAGACGAGTAGTTATGACTTGATGAGTTGGGATGTGTCATTTTGGGATGGATTATCGTTTTCAGTATTCTATTTGAGACTTTTATTAAACAGTCGTGTTATCGACTTATGTGGATTTAGTATGTTTTATCGGATTTTTGCGCTGGTATTTTATAAAGAACTGGATGTTTATGGAAAAAGAGTTATTTGTTGTTAAAGTGATTTATGGTAACATGCCGTTCCCGAGAGAGGGTGAGACGGATATTACACGTGGCACGCCGTTCCCGAGAGAGGGTGAGACGGGTGTTACACTTCTTCTCAACTTCAACTTCAAACTTCCTAATGGGATGAAAGCAGATGAGATCAATATGGATGTCATGACGGGTCTTGCTATGCATAAGTCGCAGCATCTCAAGCTTGTTCCCGAGAAAGTGAACAAATAGTCAAATAAATCTATCACTGTGGTTATATAATATATGTTCTTATAGTTCATTTTGCTTCAAGGTTTGGTTTCTTTATTAAATGTTAGTCCTCTCTCTTATCTTTGTACCTTTCTCTTAATATTTTCATCAAGGAAGCAATTTACGATGATGTCTTTTGTGATTCTTATATGTATCGGTGGATGGCTACAAAATTTGAGGTAAATATGATTTAGTAGCTAAGCTTTGAAAGGGTAGACATTTCGGTTTATTTTTCAGGTTTGGTTCGGGTTTGGTTAATTCAGTTTTACAAAAACTCTAACTGAACTCAAACCAAAACTCTAGTTTTGTTTGGTTGGTCTTAATTCGGTTTAATTATTCATATCTAAGCAAGAAAGAGATGTCAATTTAATTATTTAAACAAACACCTATAAAAAAACTAGGTAAAAGAAACTAAGTACTCCAATCATTAAAACCAAACTTAGAAAAGAAAAAAAAAAAATGAAGAGAAAAAATCTAACCAAATCTTCAATTGTGAGATGAAAGTTAAAAGCATACAAACAAATCATATAATATAATAGGACAGTTCTTTTTCAAAATAGAGTGAAACACCCCAACCCATTTTTTTTTATTTAAATAAACTCATGTCTAGTGATCCCATACTCACTAAACACCTCAACACAATCAACGGGAAAGAGCATTAAAGTCTTAAAAATAAATCCAATAAAATAACCAATAGTTCAACAATAACAAATCTCAACTCAAAAATTTATGAAAAGCAACCTAGGTGAAAGTTCTATCTCTCTGAACTAACAACCTAGCAAAACAGACACAACAACGATGATCACAACACACGAACATCTAGATCATCCCCTCTTCCTCGCCACGATTCCACGTCACACTTTGCCTTTACCTGCATCACAACACGAATGAGATGCGTAAGTATTATCATAAATACTTAGTGAGGCAATCCTCCCAAGCAACAGGCTATACACACAAGCAATAGAAACAATACACAAAAACAGCAAACTCAAACAAACCAGACAACCAGACTTTCTGACGAACATGTGTCGATCGACACACGACCTCCGTGTCGATCGACACTCAGCCCGATTGGTGTCGATCGAAAGACACTCCCTGATCGACACCTTGCCCGATCTGTGTCGAACGACACCTTCCATTGGTGTCGAACGACACCAATCGCGCAGGCACTTTTCCAGCGATTTCCACATCGCGAATTCTCCTTCTCCAGTGCCCTAATTAGTCCAGCGACTCACACACAGGCCACACAAGGACCCAGCAAGGCAATCACGACCAAGCAAACACACAAAACAGTATAACTCATCAAATCAACACATAAACGGTTCACCCAAAGGATCTAATGCTCAGATAAGCCCTCAGTCATGCACTCACCTCTTCTCTGGAAGAAAACTGAACAAAACTGCACGAACACAGGAAGGAGAACGACCCCTACAAGCTTCTCAACGCACCACCGGACTTAGATCTCCTTCACCACTAGGAAATCTCTCAGAAACAGGCTCAGGAACTCACAGAAAGGCTCTCAGGAACTTTTCTCTCTAAAACTCTCTTGGAAAACGATAAAATGGCTGATGAAAGCCCTAGGTCGCATTCCCTGAACCTTATAAACGAGCCCATTAGGGTTTTCCTTCCCTAAACCGAACGAAATCGCACAATCGAAAGCCCAAAAGCCCAATTGTTGAAAACGTTAGTGTCGATCGACACACCCTAATGGTGTCGATCGACACGCTGAACCGAAACCTGGTTCGCGGGCGTTACAATTCTCCCCCACTAACATAGATTCGTCCTCGAATCTAGCTTAACACCTCTAATCCGCAAACTCTGAACAACCGAAACGTCGGTCCGCACTTTCTCCAATCCGACCCCTCCGGGTCCCAGCTTAGTCGATATACTCCCGACTTCCGCTAGTCATTGTTGCTCACGACTCCAATACTGCTCTCAGACCGCAGTCTTTGAGCATAAACCGCTACTCTCAGGCCTCGGCCTACGGTATCTCAGGTATCGAATGTATTATCCTCCCCGCTCACAGGTCAAAACCCAGAGTTGTGTCCGCTCACTATCAGCCACAAAGTCATCAAGTTCCGACACTTGGAGAAGATAATACTACAAACTCGCTGTCGGGTCGTCACCCTAAAGAGCGTGCTCTCGGATCGTCACCCGAAGCCACCGTACCCAACGCACTCTAAAGACACCAAGTCCCTCAAATACCGGTACCTCTGGAGCATACTCCGCTCCTCTCAAGTCATCAGGACACTCAAGTCCCGGAGCAACAATACTAACCGCTTTCGAGTACTCCCTCGAACTTTCCAAAAATAGAAATTCCACTTGAGGAAACTTTCCCTTTTTAGAAACCGCTCAATACATTCTTAAATAAGACAACTCAAGTCAAATCCAAGAAATACTCATCTTATTAATCTCAAAATGTCATAATCGTTACAACTCCAAACGAAAATACATAATGAAAGAAAAATAAGAACAACAACTCAAAACTCAAAAACTCCAAAAACTCTGAAAACTCTGAAACTGGAAACCAAGGATAGGCACTCAAGCAGCCGCCTGCTTCTCGAACCACTTCCCGAACTTTGCCTTCATCCTCGCCTCTGGCCCCCAAGTCTCCTCCGACACACCGTCGCAGTCCCACTGGACTTTGATCAAAGGAATCTTCTTCCGCCGAAGTTCCTTGATCCTCCTCTCAAGAATCCTCACTAGTCTCGCCTCCAAAGTCATGTTGGGCTGAAGATCCTCAGAAATCCTAGCCAACACCTGATCATCCTTGTGAAGACACTTCCTCAGCATCGACACATGGAACACCTTGTGGAACGCGCGCATGACCTCTGGCAACTCCAGCATGTATGCCACTGGTCCCACCCTCTCAACAATCTCAAACGGACCCATGTACCTCGGACTCAACTTATTCTCAGAGATAGACCTGTTCGGACCTCGCAACATAGCCATCTTAAGGTACACTCTATCCCCAACCTCGAACTCAAGCTCTCTCCTCCTCTGGTCAGCATAACTCCGCTGACGATCCTGAGCTTCCTTCATGTTCAGCTTCAGAACCCGAATCCTCTCGGAAGTCTGCTGAACAAAGTCTGCACCATATATGCTCCTCTCTCCCACTTGGGTCCAGTAAAATGGTGTCCTGCATGGCTTCCCATACAACGCCTCATAAGGAGCCATCTGAATACTCGCCTGGTAGCTATTGTTATAAGCAAACTCCACCAGACTCAAGTGATCAGCCCAATGACCACCCCAATCCAAGACACACATTCGCAACATATCCTCTAGTGTCTGGATAGTCCTCTCAGATTGCCCATCTGTCTGAGGATGATACGCCGTACTCAAATGCACCTTAGTGCCCATCTCTGCCTGAAAGGCATCCCAGAAAGCTGAAGTAAACCTGGGGTCCCTGTCCGACACAATACTCACAGGTACTCCATGCAACTTCACGATCTCGCTCACATACTTCTTAGCTAAAACCGCCACTCCATCGGTCTTTCTGAAGGCCAGAAAATGTGCTGACTTAGTCAGACGGTCCACGATCACCCAAATAACATCCTTGGTCCGTGACACAGGCAAACCAACCACAAAGTCCATAGTGATCATATCCTACTTCTACTCCGGAATGGGCAAACTCCGCAACAGACCACTAGGAACCTGATGCTCAGCCTTCACCAACTGGCAAACGTCGCACTTAGCGACCTAGTCAGCTACATCCCTCTTCATCCCAACCCAATGATAGTACCGCTTGAGGTCTCGATACATCTTGGTCACTTCCGGATGAATGGAAAACATGCTCGCATGAGCCTCTCTCAAGATCTCACGCCGCAACTCCTTATCCTTAGGCACGCAAACCCGCCCATGCACAAGGATAGTCCCATTAGCTGCGAACTGATACTCAGAGCCCTCTGCCTTAGAAGCCGCAATCAAACCTTTGTCCTTCTCTTGAGCCAACCACACTCTACTCAGAAGATCTGCATGATCCACAGCCTCCAACCCCAACGGCTCTCGGGTAATAGCACACAACCGCAAAGCACCAATCTCGCTCGCCAAGGCTTCCACTCTGCCCTGGAGCAGCCCACACGCTTACGGCTTAGTGCATCAGCAACCACATTAGCTTTACCAGGATGGTAAGCTATCTCCAGATCATAATCAGCCACCAGCTCCATCCACCGCCTCTGCCTCAGGTTCAGCTCTGGCTGAGTGAAGATATACTTCAAATCTCAACTCAAGAATTTATGAAAAGCAACCTAGGTGAAAGTTCTATCTCTCTGAACTAACAACCTAGCAAAACAGACACAACAACGATGATCACAACACACGAACATCTAGATCATCCCCTCTTCCTCGCCACGATTCCACGTCACACTTTGCCTTTACCTGCATCACAACACGAATGAGATGCGTAAGTATTATCATAAATACTTAGTGAGGCAATCCTCCCAAGCAACAGGCTATACACACAAGCAATAGAAACAATACACAAAAACAGCAAACTCAAACAAACCAGACAACCAGACTGTCTGACGAACATGTGTCGATCGACACACGACCTCCGTGTCGATCGACACTCAGCCCGATTGGTGTCGATCGACAGACACTCCCTGATCGACACCTTGCCCGATCTGTGTCGAACGACACCTTCCATTGGTGTCGAACGACACCAATCGCGCAGGCACTTTTCCAGCGATTTCCACATCGCGAATTCTCCTTCTCCATTGCCCTAATTAGACCAGCGACTCACACACAGGCCACACAAGGACCCAGCAAGGCAATCACAACCAAGCAAACACACAAAACAGTATAACTCATCAAATCAACACATAAACGGTTCACACAAAGGATCTAATGCTCAGATAAGCCCTCAGTCATGCACTCACCTCTTCTCTAGAAGAAAACTGAACAAAACTGCACGAACACAGGAAGGAGAACGACCCCTACAAGGTTCTCAACGCACCACCGGACTTAAATCTCCTTCACCACTA